TTAAGAAAACAGATTCTAACCTAAACCAAGCTCAACGGAGCTTTCTACATGATAATTTCATAATTTCAACTTCTAAATAAATAAATAAAGAAAAAGAATTCTCAATCAACAACAACCACCAATCACGATTTCAAAATAAAATTACAATAAATTTAACAACAAACTCGATTTATAATCCAATATCAATATGTTATTTACATAAAATGAACTGAAGCTAAAAATCCCTATAGTCGGCAGTAACGTTCAGATCCAAAACAGAATTCGAACTTCCCTTTTGCCTTCGATTCCTCAAAGCCGAAAATTCCAGTACTCCCTGAACTTACTGAATCACTCTTCCACGCTCTCTGTTTTTTTTTTCTTCGTTTGCCTTCTTCTCCTCTTCGTTCCCCCCTTCTGGTCCCCGAAAACCTTCTTTTCTAGGCAAAATTCGAGGAGCTTGAAAGAGAGCCCCAGCCATCCTATTACCTTCTCTCAATCTCAACTGTTCCTCACCCTCGATCTGCCGCCTACCTACACGCCCTAGATTCCCTGCAGCCTGCAAGTTGATCCAAGCGCGTGAGATGGAGGAAATGAACAGCTGATGTGTCTCCAAACCTTACAATCTGATTGGAGGAAAAGGGCTGTGGAAGTAGGAGACGATTTTTTCTCACATGGGATGGAAAGGAGAAGTGATGGATGAGGGAGGAAGGTGGAGGAATCCCCTCTGGCCCCTGCCCTTGACGCCCATCGTCTGCAAGTGAGCACATTTGTTTTTCGCCCCTACACCAAAACGACTTCGTTTGGCGTTTTCTTTTTGTGCTTTAGTTCATAAGTTTCATCTTCCTGACAGTTTCGTCCTTCATTTTAATGAGTATCACGATTAAGTCCCCGCAAAACAAAACACAGATTTTAAATGTTTTTCATTCAGTAGAAAATGACATTAATTTAATTTAATATGAATTTTCCTTTTACAAATATTTCGCATTAATTTCTCACGTCACCTTAAAACTTAAAATTTTATGAGAAATAAAAATTGTAAAAAATTTGAGATATTTTAAAAAATAAATCAAATAAAAATCAAGTTATAACAAGAAGTATTGGATAGTAACTTGGAGTTGGGAACTTGAGAGTGACTGAGGAAAGGTGTTGTGAGGTGTGGCTCGCTTGGGATACAATTGTTGGTGTAGCATGGCTAGTGACGGTGCAATCTACGATGGGGTGCTCTGGATATAAGAGTTTGAATATAGAAGGGTTGGAATCGATGGGGTGAATCAAGAACATTGGAAGAGAAAGAATCAAATAAAATGCCTTTCATTCCTTTTTGTTTTAAATGCTAAAGTAAATAAAGGAAAACCAAAAAAACGAAAGTTCTTATTTAGAAAACCTAGAATAACAAAGATCCATTTTTTTCACGAGAGAAATGAAAATTATAAAGATTAAACTTTTAATTTGATCTCTTAATTATTGTATAAATTTTTAAATTGATTCTTAAACCAAAAAATTCATAATTTGATCCTTAAAGTTTTTAAGTTTGGTTTCAAATTCATCTTCTCGTTAAAAAATAGCTAACATGTTCGTTAGTTAATTGAAGGTAAAAGACCATCACTTTTCAATCATATGTCACATTAATTACAGGACATATCAAATATTTTTTAATAAGGTTAAGAAACCCGTACAATAATTAAAGAACTAAATTAGGAGTTTAATCAAATATAATACAATAA